CTGGCCTTGCTGTGCTGCTTTTCTCAGGGTTTGAGTGACATTCTTTTTAAGATATTTGGCAAACATTCCCCTTCTTGACAAAGGGATAATTTTTTATCATTATTTTTTATAAATAATTTAAAGGGAGGGGCGGAGGGAGTAACTTTTTCCATAGAACTAGAGGATCGGCAGGATCGATTATCCTCGCCATCACAGCTTCTGGCTTCCTCAGTTTTCTCATGTCCTCCCGATGCATCTCATCTACAAGGCCTTCTTCAATAAACCAAGGACATGAAATTTCTATGGTTTCTATAAATTGCTCTATTACTTTCTTTTTTAACCCTATTCCTTGCGTCTGCAATAATGCCTTCACTGCCTTTACTACTGGGGGATTTTTCCCGATGCTTGTCCCATAATGCCTGCTCAAAATAAATCTCCACAATTTTGGTGTCGGGTACTCACCACAAATTGTATACCTCTATAGTCGCGACTCCGTGAATCCAGGTTCCTCACTGCTTCTCTAATTCTCAGGTCCCACGTTCGGGCGCCATTTGTGCCGGCCTGCGGCACAATGAACTGGGTCTTCCTGAAACAGAGAGTGGGAATGCGGGGACAAGGACGCAAAGAATGGAGCCAAGACAAGTCCTGATCAAGGCTCGTTTATTGAATAAATGCAGTAGTATTTAAACATGACCAGTTGTTTACAAGGAGGAGCACAAAAGATTTACATATCAAAACGGCTCTTAAGGTTACAATAAAAACACTTAGGTGATAAATGAAGGTTACAGGTGTGACTGATTATTTGTATCATCTCTTGTGAAAGGTTTAGGTTCCTCCTGCCTCTTCCCGGAATCTCCCCTAGCCTAATTGTCTGTGCCGGGAAGTCTCCATTCATATGTTTAAGTGTAAACAAAGGGAGTGACTACCTGTGGCTGCCCACAAAAAGGAACCTGGGAAGCCCTCTGTCCCTCCCACCTAGACACAGGGAACAGGAGGCCAGAGCACCAGGTCTTCTCCCAGCTCAGCAGCGCTGAGACTACACCAGGCTCTTCAGCTCCTAATCTGAGTTCTTTTCCTCTTCTCACACCACTCTCTCCGTGCAAAGCCCAGCACAGCGGCTGCACAGAATCTCTGTGTGACTTGACTGTTGTGAGCACTCCAGCTGCACTCCATTAGGAGGCTGTGATAGGGGCTCATTGTTCTCAAGCCCACAAAGGAAAGTAAATAAACACCTTCTTGTCTGCTACTTTTTTTTAAAGATTTGTTTATTTGAAAGTCAGAGTTACACAGAGAGTGAAGGAGAGGCAGAGAGACACACACACACACAGAGAGAGAGAGGGAAAGGTATTGGCCACAATGGCTGGAACTGCGCCAATCTGAAGCCAGGAGCCAGGAGCTTCTTCCGGTTCTCCATGTGGGTGCAGGGGACCAACCACATGGGCCATCTTCTACTGCTTTCCCAGGCCATAGCAGGCAGCTGGAACATGTGTTTCAGCCTTAGCACCCACATAGGAGACCTGAAAGACATTCCATCTCCCGGGCCTGGTGCTGTGGCGCAGAGGGTTAAAGCCCTGGCCTGAAGTGCCAGCATCCCATATGGGCACCGGTTCTAGTCCCAGCTGCTCCTCTTCCAATCCAGCTCTCCCCTATGGCCTGGTATAGCAGTGGAAAATGGCCCAAATGTTTGGGCCGCTGCACCAGCATGTGAGACCAGAAGAAGCTCCTGGCTTCGGATCAGCACAGCTTGGCTTTTGCAGCCATCTGGGCAGTGAACCAGCGGATAGAAGACATCTTTCTCTGCACATCTCTCTGTAACTCTGTCTTTCAAATCAATAAAATAAATCTTAAAAAGAAGAAAAGAAAAGAAATTCCGTCGCCAATTGGCAGGCCCAGCCTCAGCCGGTGAGCCATTGGAGGAGAGAACCAGCAGATGAAAGAGAACTCTCTCTCCACTTTGTGTGTGTGTGTGTGTGTGTGTGTGTCTGTTAAGGCATGGACTTTCATAAGCAAAAGTCTTTTAAAAAGCTCTACATATAAAAAACTGTACATATGAAATTTGTATCCTTTATAAAATGTAATAATCACCTGTATTTAAAATATTTTCCTTGTAATATCTATAATGCTTTCTCTTTTACTCCATGAATCCCGAATGATGCTCTAGCTTCCATATTCAGAAAGAATAGTTGATTTCCTTTAGAACAGTAGGGACATGGTCATGTATGTGCTGCTGCCACCAAGGAGGAGGAAAGGAGGGAGCCTCAGAGGAGTCACCCTGGCCCCTTCCACCCGACCCTGCAGGACCTTCAAGCCTGGCTGCTCTGAGAATCACTCTCAGCAGATGGGGCCCAGGAGGAGCAGCTGGGGCAGCCCAGCCTCACACTTCTGCTTTCCTGCTGGTTTTTCTTAGGGCTTGTATCACTGTGGAACCAGTACTACCACTACCACCATTATTGTTTTGACAGTAGTAAGTGGCAGCATCGGCACACTCCAGGTCGCTGATGGTGAGAGTGAACTGTGTCCCAGATCCACTGCCTTTGAACCGCGATGAGACCCCAGATGCCAGAGTGGATGCAGAATAGATCAGGAGCTTGGGAGGCTGCCCTGGTTTCTGCTGATACCAGGCTAATCTACTACTAATGCTCTCACTGGCCTGGCACTTGATGGTGACTGTGCCTCCCACAGGTTCAGACGCGGAAGATGGAGTCTGGGTCAGCACAGGGTCACATATGGCACCTGAGGAGGGAAAGAGAAACACAGAGACCACACTCATCCTCACGTTCTAAGAGGACGCTCCTGCAGAGACGGGCAGCCCTGGCCACACTGCCCGAGGCCGTTCCTGCTGCTGGCCTTCCTTACCTGGGAGCCAGAGCAGCAGGAGCCCCAGCAGCTGAGTGGGGGCCCTCGTGTCCATGCTGGGTCCTGCCTGGCACTGCCTCCTGCATGGGGCGGGAGCAGCCTGCTCCTAAATGCCCAGAGAGGTGGGCGGTGCTCTAGGGACATGCAAATGACCATGGGCGGGGCAGGGCTGTGCCCAGCTGAAGGGCCCAGGGCAGCTCAGAACTCAGCCCAGGGGCTGTGTCTCCACTGCCCCAGCTCAGACCAGGGCTGCACAAGTTTACCTGCAGTGCGCATGCTTCTACCAGGAGACGCCACCTCCCAAAGTCACTGAGGGACAATTGCAAAAACTTTTGGTTAACTGAACGACCTGCTGGTGTAATGTATTCATGGTTATGTTCGGATTCTGTAGGAGAAAGTCCATTTTTAGGGAATACTTAGTTACACCTTAAAGCTGAGGGCCATGTCTACCTGTTTGTCCTGTGATGACCTCACATTGTCCTCTTATGGCAGACCGCTGCACCAGGGAGATGGTCTCTAAGAAACGAGACTTTGTCCACACTCACCTCTGAAACTGATCAGAATTAACATCCTCAGAACAAGCGGCTCCAGAGAGACCAGGACTCAGAAGGAGAACGCAAGTGCTTAGATGAGAGATCACACATGTGCGCTCTCCCATCTGCAGCCAGAGTTCTGAGTCAAGGATACAGGAGGAAAACAGAAGTGCAAGTTTCAAGGAATTTCCATAGGTCTAAGAAATCTTAAGAAATCTTAAGAAATCCAGAGAGGGAGACCGTGCTCTGGCACAGAGTGTTAATGCACTGGCCTGACGCACTGGCTTTCCATATCGGCACTGGTTCTAGTCCCATCTGCTCCTCTTCTGATCCAGCGCTCCTCTATGGCCTGGGATAGAGGTAGAAGATGGCCCAAGACCTTGGGCACTACACCCATTGGGAGATCCAGAAAAGCTCCTGGCTCCTGGCTTTGGATCAGCCCAGCTCCAAGGATTGCAACCGCTTGGAGAGTGAACCAGAGGATGGGAGACCTCTTTCTTTCTCTGCCTCTCACTGTAAATTTGTCTTTCAATAAAAAAAAAAGAAATCGGAGAGGAGGGAAGGCCAGCATCATGACACAGTGGGTAAGGCTGCCACTTGCAATGCCAGCAGCCTACATCAGAGACTGGTTTGAATCCTACTGCTCCACTTCTGATCCCATTTCCTGCTAATGCACACCCTGGGAGGCAGCAGGAAATGCCCTAAGTTCGTGGATTCCTGCCCCACAGGGGAGACCAGGGGCAGTTCTGGCTCTGGGGTCTGCTTGGCCAGGAACTCACTGTTACAGCCATTTGTGGAGAGACCACTTACAGACCCAACCCCCATCTTTGCCTCTCTCCAATGCTCAGACTTACAAGTGAATAAATAAATATTTTGAAACATGGAAAATGTTAACATTTATGAAAATTATCTAAATTATATTTATTAGAAATAAGTATTCACCACAGTACAAAACACCCTGCTAAAGCTGGGCTCTTTTTTTTTTTAAGATTTATTTCATTTATTTGAAAGAGTTACAGAGAGAGGTAGAGACAGAGAGAGAGGTCTTCCATCTGCTGGTTCACTCCCTAAATGGCGGCAAAAGCCGGTGCTGCGTGGATCCGAAACCAGAAGCCGGGAGATTTTCTGGGTCTCACACTTGGTGCAGGGGCCCAGAGACGTGGGCCATCTTCTATTGCTATCCTAGGCCATAGCAGAACTGCATCAAAAGAGGAGCAGCTGAGACTTGAACCGCCACCCTATGGGATGCCAGAGCTTCAGGCCATGGCTTTAACCTGCTGTGCCGCAGTGCCGTGGGCTCCATTATTTTCACATCCAGTGTCTGGGCACTGATTCTTCCACTGACCTCTGTGTTGGCTGGTTTCATGCCTCACCAATTTGAGAAATTTAAGAAGCTTTTCCCTCAATCGAAGAACTATTGGCCATCTGACGATTACTGAGACTACAATTAGTGTATCTTTTCAAGAAACACAGTATGGAACTGCCCAGTTCGTTCCCTCTGCCTCTCCCTCTGCCTGTGTCCCAGACAGGAAGATGCACTAGGTAGGCCTGGACACCCACTGCCCACGTGCCCCTAGCAATGGCAGTGTCCAGGGAGGATCTCACTTGAAGCACATGGGAGCAGGTGTAAAACATATGTTTGCTTATTTGCCCTGATCACTAAAAAAAGATCTATGAGATAAATAACAATTGTTCTATGCCTAGGAGATTTGTTCGATTCGATGAGAATTTGCTATTTGATTTTGAATTGAATGAAGACTGCTCTATCAGGGATTGAAAGCTGATGCAGTTCCACCTGTGACCCCATGGGGACGCCAGCACACCTATGGTCTTGTAGTAACAGGCATTGGGAGGATGCGACTCCCAGCCTTGGGTAAACTCTTGAGAACAGTGTTGTTTCTGCTAAACCTTGTTGAATTATTTGTTTAGTGGAGAGTTAAGCTGGTGATTATAGAGTGAAAGTATGTCCGTGTAAAACTTAAAAGAAAAACAAAAGAGGAGTGAGGGGGAGTGAGGAAGCATGGAAGGACATGGTGGGCAGTGGCATTATGCCCTCATCACTGTGGATGGGATGGGCCAGCCTCATGCAGTGGGTAAAGCCACCTCATGCAGTACCAGCATCCCACATGGGCCCCGGTGGGAGTCCAGGCTTCTCATCTTCCAATCCAGCTCCCTGCTTGCCCTGGGAAAGCACCTGGAGCTGGCCCACGTGTTTGAGCTCGGGCACCATGTGGGAGAATGAAAGGAGTTCTATCTCCTAGCTCTGCCAGGCACTGCTCATCCATTGCAACCATTTGGGGAGTGAACCAGCGGATGGAAGATCACTCTCTATCCCTCAAAATCTCATTCTCTTTCTCTCTTTCTCTCTCTCTCTCTCTCAATGTGTGTGTGGTGTGTGTAGCAGAGACTTTCAGAAAGGAAATAAATCTTTTTAAAAAAAAACCATAGCTATGAAAATGATACCCTTTATAGAATTTATATAATCACTTGTATTAAACTCGTTTTGCTTGGAATATCTGTAAAGTTTTCCCTTTTGCTCTATGAATCAAAATATGCTGTAGCTTTGACTACTCAGAAAATATAGTTGATTTGCTTTAGAATAGTAGGGTCATGGTCAAGTCTGTGGTGCTGCTTCCAAGGAAGAAATGAGGGAGCCTCAAAGAGTCACCTGGCCCCTTCCACCCGACCCTGCAGGACCTTCAAGCCTGGCTGCTCTGAGAGTCACTCTCAGCAGATGGGCCCAGGAGAAGCAGCTGGGGCAGTCCAGCCTCACACTTCTGCTTTCCTGGGGGTTTCCGTTAGGGCTTGTAATACCGAGGTACCAGTACTACTACTATAATAAGTGCATTGACAGTAGTAAGTGGCAGCATCATCACACTGCACACCGCTGATGGTGAGAGTGTACTCTGTCCCAGATCCACTGCCTTTGAACCGCGATGAGACCCCAGATGCCAGAGTGGATGCAGAATAGATCAGGAGCTTGGGAGGCTGCCCTGGTTTCTGCTGATACCAGGCTAATGCATTGCTAATGCTCTGACTGGCCTGGCACTTGATGGTGACTGTGCCTCCCACAGCTGCAGACACGGAGGCTGGAGTCTGGGTCAGCACGACGTGGGCACATCTGGCACCTGAGAAGGGAAACAGAAACACAGAGACCACACTCATCCTCACGTTCTAAGAGGACGCTCCTGCAGAGACGGGCAGCCCTGGCCACACTGCCCGAGGCCATTCCTGCTGCTGGCCTTCCTTACCTGGGAGCCAGAGCAGCAGGAGCCCCAGCAGCTGAGTGGGTCCTGCCTGGCACTGCCTCCTGCATGGGGCGGGAGCAGCCTGCTCCTAAATGCCCAGAGAGGTGGGCGGTGCTCTGGGGACATGCAAATGAGCAGGGGCGGGGCAGGGCTGTGCCCAGCTGAAGGGCCCAGGGCAGTTCAGAACTCAGTCCAGGGGCTGTGTCTCCAGCTGCCCCAGCTCAGACCAGGGCTGCACAAGTTTACCTGCAGTGCGCATGCTTCCACCAGGAGACATCACCTCCCAAATTCCCTGAGGGACATTTGCCAACCCTATAATTGAACTGGAGGACAAGAAGGTGTAATTTGTTCATGCTTATGGTGGAATTCTTTAGTAGAAATGCTTTTCTAGGGAATACTTAGTTACACCTTAAAGCTGAGGTCCATGTCTTTCACCTGTTTGTCCTTTGATCCCTCATCTTGTCCCCTCATGGAGACCGCTGCACCAGGGAGATTGTCTCTGAGAGACGAGACTTCTACCCACACTTACCTCTGTACTGACTCAGAATAAACATCCTCAGAACAAGCGGCTGCCAGAGACCAGGACTCAGAAGGATAACACAGGTGCTTAGATGAGAGATCACACATGTGTGCTCTCCCACCTGCAGCCAGAGTTCTGAGTCAAGGATGCAGGAGGAAAGAAAAGTGAAAGTTCAAGGCCTCACCATAGGTCTGAAGACATCAAGAAAAATAACTTCCTTCTCTCCTCTCTCCTGAAACCTTCACTTTATCTCTAAGAAAATCTAGAGAGGAGGGTAGACTGGCATCATGGTACATGGATTAAGTTGCCACTTGCAAAGCCAGCAGCCTACATCAGACACTGGATTGAAGCCCACTGCTCCACTTCTGATCACATTCCCTGCTAATGCGCACTAAAACTGGGCTCCATTTTTTTTATCTCCAGTGTCTGGGCACTGATTATTCCCTCTGACCTGTGTGCTGACTGACTTTATGCTACAGGGACATGAGAAATCTTAAAATCTTTTGTCAGGACAGTTTGTCTACCCGACCATCACCGAGAGTACAATGAGTTTATTTTTCAGGAAACACAGATGTGGAGTTGCCCGATACATTCCCTCTCCTCTGCCTCTGCCTCTGCCCTGTCTAGGTGGAGACAGAAGGAGGCACACATGCACCTGCACACCCACAGCCCCATTGTCCTGAGCACTGGCCCTGCTCCATGGGAGGTGCATCACACGGAGCACAGTGGGAGCACAGTTGGAACGTCATTGGTTTGTTTCTCATCTGCCCGGCCCACTAA